GATAGATAGATAGATAGATAGATAGATAGATAGATAGATAGATAGATGGGAAGGGAATAAATAAAATAAGGAGGCACTAAATGATGAAAACAAAGAAAATAAACAGAGGATAGTGGACTGGAAGTGACTTAAACAAGGGAAGTTGCCATTGAGAAGGCTGGGATTGTACATGCACACAAATGTTAAGTTCACACAAGCACACAGCTCAGTCCTTTGCACAATGTCTGTAAGCAAGTTATGTAAGGGATCAGATCTGAGTTTCGAGAACTGATCCCTCTCCCTTACTCATTTTGTTGAGTGTCCTCAGACTTCCCCTTCTTTCTCCAGCTGCTTTGTGCAAACTGCATTCAGTAAGACAGAGCAGATCTGTACCCTATAAACGTAAATGAATGGAAATCAGAAAGAGGGTATACTTATTTTCAAAAAACTTCCCAGAGTGAACCATCACATTGTGGTATAAACCAAAGCCAGCATGTGTTCTGATATTCCATTTATAATTGATGCTATGTAAAGCATCTGCAAACAGAAGAGACAAAATATAGTAATGAAACTTGACAGCCATAAGCATGTAAACAAATATGCGCTGAAACACATGAGAAAAGTGATTTTCCTTTGTATTTTCCTATGACAACTTAACAGGATGAAGATAAAACATAGAATACTCTACTTTTTTTTTTCTTCAGTGACTATGAGGCACAGTTTTAGAGGAAAAAATGTGTGTATATAAGTAAATCCCAATAACACATGTATGCTTTAGGTTGTGATCAACTCAAACATTTAATGAATTTTTCTAGGAGGATTTATTTCACACTCTCATTTCAGGGCCATTACTCCCCAGTCTTAGCACTCATGACGTTTCTGCGTAGCAATGAGCCCTCCGTGTCAGTCTCCAGCACACAGAGATTGTATGTGCAGAGACGGCACTGAACCTCAAGGTCACAATGCCCAGAATTTTTGCTTCCTCTTTCCAATGGCTCCCTTTATCTGGGTTATCCAAAACTCCACCATGGAATAAACTCCACTTCCCACAGCCCAGTGACTCCCTTCAGTCCCATTTTTTACTAAATTAGAACTATAAAAGGAGTTCAAACTTCTCATTATTCTTCTCCAGACTCGTCCTCTACTGTGCTCACTACTTGTCTTCACATTAACAGTGAGTCAAAAATCTCCTCTCAAAAGAATCTCTAATTCACACACACACACACACACACACACACACACACACACACACCCCACAGTCTACATTATCTCAATACGAGTTTTAGTGGAAGTTTCTTTCTTTGTTATTGTTACAACAGTACAGTGACAGAATTAACCCTTTTTACATCCACTTGAAACTACACTAATCCTCCCATTGGTTATTATCATTCAATGAGGAGATCAATCAGACCGATTACAGGATTCTGCTTTCTATTTCATGCTCTGACTGGGTACCTTTCATTTCCTGTTGTTCTAGTCAGAATTTAGAACTCTGTAGAGATGTCACATTTCTTAAAATATTTGGACATCCATTATTTCTTTTGGGCGGGTCAGAAGATTTTAGTTGATGGTCATTTGGCCTCATTACTTTGGCTTGTGGCATGATGGAGGGGACACAGTGGAGTGAACGGTGTCCTTCATGGCAAAGTAAGAGAAAAGGCCAAGGCTTCTAGGTCTACTTCAAGAACACACTCCACTACATAACCCAAAGCTTCTCCAATAGACCCTTCTCATAAAGGGAGCCGCACAGCCTGGATGCAGTAGCCATTATACAAACTTTGTGGGGCTTTTAAAATCCCAAGCCTGATAAGAGTCCAACTTGTAAAAATCAGTTGAGTTGATTGTGGGTTAGACTGAGGACAGCATGTTTCTGAAAAGTAGGTATGGATGAAACAGCTACTTCCTGGATATGGATGCTTCTTGCTATCGGGCAAAGCCAAGTGTACCTGTAGGAGCTTTCTGGCTAGGCATGCATTTGCTGTTGAATGTAGCTAAGGACAGGTTCTGTGTCCTATTTCACAGTCTCACTGGATACCTTTCACTTCCTGCTATTCTAATCAGAACTCAGAACTCTGTGAAAATTGGGAAGAAGGCAGAGTGACCTGTGGTTCTGTGTTTCTAAACAATTTACATTTACATATTTATTCTTTCATCTTTAAGGAAATGTTTATCTATGAACCTAAAAAAGGTTTCAAAAGATCTTGTGTTATTAGCAAACATTTTAATTGGATGTGATGGCTCATGCTGTTAATTCCATTAGGTGGGAGGCAGAGGCAGGCAGATTTCTGTGAGTTCAGACCAACATGGTCTACATAGTGAGTTTCAGTTCCTTGACAACCAGGATTACATAGACACACACACACACACACAGAGAGAGAGAGAGAGAGAGAGAGAGAGAGAGAGAGAGAGAGAGAGAGAGAGAGAGA